TTATTTATTCACTTTATGTATGCATTCATTCTTTATTTCTTTATTAATTAATGAAATAATTTGTTCATTTTATTAGACTGTTTGTGAATTTTGAGTATATATTGTATACAATAAGTTTTAAACAGCATATGTTTTATTCATTTTATCAAGTTTGTGTATATCTCATTTGCTATGATTGAAATGTATTATGTATGCATTGCAGGATTCTGGACAAGTCATAATTTAATTAAGATTCATAATTTCAATTCAAATTAAAATCCTAAATTTGAATTAAGGTAGATAAAGAATTGCAATTTGAAATTTAATATAAGAAAATATCATTAAAACGAGTTCAAATTATTATAAAAAAAATTTTGTAACTAAAAAGCAGTTTGTCAAGTTTGAATTTTGGATTGACAGACTTTTTAAAAAGTTTTGAGGGAGATACATTGAAGGATAGTGGATGGGTAGATAGATGCTGTAGAAATGCTGTAGAAATGTGTATTTAGTTTATATATTTCATTAGATTTAATTAACTTTTGACAAGGGTGGAAGAACATTTAATTGTGTAGTATGCATTAGCTGTTAAAGGGGTAATGCACTGAAAAATGTAAATTGTGCCATAATTTACTAACCCTCAAGTTGATCCAAACCTGTGTAAGTTTCTTTCTTCTGTTGAGCACAGAAGACGATATTTTAAATAATGTTGGTAACCAAACCGTTGCTGTCACTGATCTCCATAGTATAGAGCGGGGAAAAATACTATGGAAGTTAATGGCTACGGTCAACTGTTAACATTCTTCAAAATATCTTCTTTTGTGCTCATCAGAGAAAATAAATTCATACAGGTTTGGGACAACATGAAGGTGAGTAAGAGATGACAGAATAAATGTCTGCTTCTGCTTTCTAGATACTGATATCGACAACTACTGTGAACCCAGGGAAATTAAGTGGATATGTGGGACATGCTCTTCTAATCAAATTCAACAAATAGCAGTAGAGACTCTACATGTCATTTACTGTGCAAGTAACATTTACATAAAAACTGTCCAAACTCTGTTCGAGTGTCTGATACATTGATTGTTGGGTATCTGATGCTGTAGTTGGGAAAACATCAGGGACTCTCCGCTGCCGATGATTAGGAGCTCTTATGCTATCCATTGATTTCTCCTCTACCCGGGGATGAGCGCTTGAGAACACAGAGCAGGGCTGATAGCTTTGTGTTTGATTTGCAGAGTCTGGAATCCATTCACCATTCAGTGAGGAACAGGACTCTATCTCCAACAAAAAGGTCTTTGGGAAAATCATGTATAGAGACAGAGAAAGGGAGACCATGAGTTATTCCTCATCGAGCCCGGTCTCATGAAAATGCGTATAAATAGTACGCCAAATAAAAACGAAAACTCGTGGTATTGATACGCAAAAATGGACTTTGGCGTGCATATGATACGCATGTGTTTGGCATGCATATAATACGCAGTTTTCGCGTGCATATGATACGAAATTTGTTGGCGTGCATATGATACGCAGTTTTCGCGTACATATGATACGCATCTACCCCACAACCCTATACCTACCCATCGCGTAGCATATGCACGCCAAAGTACATTTTAGCGTATCAATACCACGAGTTTTCGTTTTTATTTGGCGTACTATTTATATGCACTTTCATGAGATCGGGTTGCCTCATCTTTATCAGAAGGAGAGAGAGGATTTTATGCAAAAACCTCAGCAAGGTCTTTTTGGATTTACTGAAAGACAGGCACGTTCTAACAAAGAAACTTCTCTCCTCATTTGGTTCCTCTGAAAAGCTATAGAAACATCTAGTAAGCGTACATCTTTATTGAAGATGGAAAACCAATCAATCTCCTATTTTATTGGACTCGGTCACATCTCAATCGAGCTGAGGGTGAAATAACCACCTGTGCTGTATTTTAAAGCTTTAAACAGAATACAGAAAAAAAACTGAACAGCCCAAAGCTCTCCTTCAGTTCCTTTGTTTCTCAATCACAAACACCCACACGCTTCTTCAGACTGCTGAGGCCATCCTTTCAATTTGGCCTGCCTCTACTACATTTTAACCAATCCATCACATGTTCAATGTTTGCATGTGCACAGGATGTACGCATTAGAGCGGAGTTCCATCGGATATGAGTGTACGTTGTTTGGAAGGTTCTGAGAGAGGCCAGAACAAGGGGCGTACAGAAAGTAGAAGAGCGTTGTCTTGCTCGAAGTTGGCAATTACAGACTGCACAGTGTCCCTTGGGGGTCCCGGGTGCACTCTGTCTGGAGGCCTGTGTTAGCGTTGCACAATACAGATGTGTGGGCAGATGCCATCTGGGGCTCGGAGAACAAAACCGAGTGTGGGGGCGCCGTTCAGGGAATTCAGTCAGGAGACCCGAGAATCCAGAAAGAGAATGGAAAATGATCTGACGGTAATCAATCAAAAAAAACTGTGACACAAATGACCAAACACAACGGCCCAGAGCAAAGCCTCGCACAAACACACCCCTGCCTGTGGCGACTCCCCGCCCACTGGCCATAACGCGATCAATAGGCCTTCACCGATATGAGCAGAAGCGATTGGCCGAGACTGCTAAAAGTGAACCGCCTCCTCCTCGGCTAATTGCACCTTTATGATTGCGCAGTCTTTCGTGCAGATCGAGAAAATAAAACGCCATTCTCTTCGTCAAACTGAGTGACAATCGATGTTGGGCGCCCATCTCAGAACGCCAGATGCTCCTCCCGACTTCATTATGCTGGCCGAGATGGTTTCGCCGGAGCAACGGTGTCGCTACAAAGCGTTTCGATCGTGGCCCTAGAGACAAAGTCACGGACGTCACCTGCTCCTCAGCCTAATGCTATTAAAAACGAGAGATCCCAGAGAGGCCCCAAATGTATATGGAAAAGAACAAAAACGTAGCTTCTCTGGCCTATACATAAACAGGAAACGCTAGCTGTGGTCAGACGGATCTTGAATGTTAAAGTCTGAGAAGGCGGCGGAACATGTTTCAAGTCTTCATCCAATCCACTGAGACCAACTTTAAACCAACAGCTGAAGACACATTCTTTACTGTGAGCACTTGATTACAACATTTTTTACCATCTGGCACTTTCTATGATAAGGGTACAAAATGTGGCGTGAAACTGAAAAGTTTACTTTTTTCTCAACAAATGTTAAGTGAAGGAGGTTCCTTCAGAAAATATTGATCATTAACCTTTAAATTTTGTTTTAGAAACATTTAGTAAGCTCCCACCTTCTATCAGAGACTAAAAAGCAATCAATCTCAAATTCATACAATAAACATGAAATAAAAATAAAAAATAAACTGAACAAATTGTTAAATAAAACCTACACCAGAATGGTTAAGTGGGCTGTAAATGTAGCCTAAATTGAGATTTTGAGGTTAATGTTAAGCTATATAATAATATCAATCAAACCGATCTGTTAGGTATAATGAGAAAAATACATGGAATTTGTCTTTAATGCTTTAAGAAAGTCATGTGACGCCAAAGTGTGCCTGTTTTTTCCACATTTTGTAAGTCATTGTGGATATATCATGCAAGGGTTATTTTTATTTAAGCAAAACACTCTATCTAGCTTTATTGCAGCCATCAGCATTTATCTTTAGTGACACAACAATGAAGTGCTGCTACAACTGTTAATGTTCAAGTATAAACATGCCTTGTCTCTTACAGATCCATCAGCCTCGAAGGCGGTACCCAATAACTTAAGTCAGTTACTCTCCCTTGCAGCCCATCGATATGCAAACACCCTGTTGTCAAAGTTGTCAGCACACAGCGAGCCCCGCTCCCCGTTACAGGATGTGGATTGGCTCATCAGGTGGGCGCATGCAGTAAGTCAGTGGAAAGCGTGAAGCGAAATCGGCGCATCTGCTGCTATTGATGGAATCCAACGATGGAAAAGACGCGTTTGGTGCGCAACCTGGTTGTGGGCGTCGTGAAACGATTGATTGACAGGGGCAGGAGAGTAGGCGTCCAGTTGATAAAGGCATAAAGGGTCTCACCCTAACATTTAATAACTTTTAGGCTTTGCAGCAACACATACTGAATAGCGACGACCGATTTGCGAATGAATCCTTCTTTTAAAGTTGAGTGATCCGGTTCACAAAACCAGTCTGAACAATTCCTTCACGAATCTAAGTCAGTCGGCCCAAGCGGTTCTCTTTCGGCAATATGTGTTTATTTGAACTTATGTAATGTGCTACGCCAGTATATCAATGACGCCATTGTGCCGAGACGTAAAATAACTGCTGAATCTTTGTAATTAAAACCCTATTTAAATTGTTTGAAAGAACCGATTTGCAAAAAATACTTTTATCTCTGCTGAAACTGTAGCACTAAGCACTGCAGTTTAAATCTGGATGCAAACTGAAAGTGGTCAGATTTATGTTTTTTTCCCCATTCTCTTATATTTTATGATTAATGTTTGAATAATAATTATTGAAGTAACGTAGTCCGTTTCCCCTGAATAAATTGTCTGTTAGTAATGTAATAGAAGTAGGCTAAGCTTATTTATCCACGACCTAGCAAGTTTAGAAATTTGCCTTTTGTTTGAGTGTTGTGGATAGGAGATAAATTGCAAACACTAGACGGCGCACTAGCTCTTCCCACTATATGGCTGTTTAGCTTAACTTTAATGAGTTGCACGCTCCATACAGACTTATGTATGACGTAGGCTATACAGCTATAATAATTATGATCAGGGTATTTCCAATACATTATGGACCATGTTCTGTATGTAAAAGTAGCATTTTAACAACAGCCGCTCTCTAGCCTATTTCTCTTTAGCGCGTTCTCTTTCAGACGCGCACTCTATCTCTCTCACACGCGGTTTTTATGATACGCGAAAGACTGAAAGAAGAAAGACTTTTTTATACTTATACAATTCTTCATTTATCATATAGGCTACCTGAAAAATGGGCTGGCTATTTACCCGAATGGTGTCTCGCTGTGACAGGCACGTCAGGAAGTAAAGATCCGCCCCTCGGCGGTGTTCAGCTGCGCTCTGTGCATCACTCTCAAACGCTAATTCCACCGGGACAGACGCAACTTCGGTCCGTGCGCGGAGCGGAGGAGACGCACACGAAATGACACCAATGGCTGCACTTGTGTTCACAGCGACTTTTGCGCTAATAATCTGGATACCGACTTTCGCATTAACCGCACGGGTCTACCCTCCTAATGAAGGTAAGGACCAAACCAAGGGAAAATCTCTAGGCTACAAGAGTTATTTGTTGTTGTTTGGGTTACGACATGGGATGGTAGAGTGGCACACTGTATGACTGCCATCTGTTTTTTTTTTTTTGTTTGTTTTTTTATTTTGAGACTTTATCCCGTCAGCGAAAAGGAATTATAACATTTTTCTCCGAAAGTCCCTTTGGGGATCTCCAAGTGTCTTTGGCTCCCAAATCCGCAGATCTAATGGAAGACTGAGCGTTTTTTCATCAAACGAAGTTAAACTCGGACTCTATTGGGAGTAAACACTCTGGTTCAACCGATTTTTAATTTTACTGGAACCTATTTTTTGCACATATCTTTATTTATTGATTCATATTTCATGAAATGCGCATGGATGACCAGAAAGGAAAATATAAGTAGTTCACGACTTTATTATTTCCTTGGAGTGTTTTCACTAGTGAAATGCATGAAATTCAGAGACGCGCACGAAACAGATACAAGCATTGCAGTATAATGTATACTTATAGTCTCAATTAAATTCTCGTAAATGTCGCATTTCACTGCACGCTTTTAATTTTAATAAATATATTATGGCTTGTCGTGGCATTAAATCTCAAATTTCATATATATTTATAAATGTATGTGTGTGTGTGTGTGTGTGTGTGTGTGTGTGTGTGTATATATATATATATATATATATATATATAATACATTTATTGTGTCTGCTCATTTTAAATTCTGAAACCCTTACAAATAATAATAATAATAATAATAATAAAAATGTGAACATAAGCCTTTTATATATTCTTTGCATGTTCATTCCACAGATTATTTTCCTCTCTCAGAGGACCTAATTTTGCTTGGACAATAGCCAACTTAGAATACTGATTAAAGCAGTACATAATCATGCTGCAATCAAATTTTATAAAATACATATTTTGGCCAAATATTCACTTGTATTATTTAACCATATCCAATAAATAGCCTTATAAGCCTAAATCAGTTTACATCAAGGAAATGGAGAGTGTAATAACTTTGTGCAGTTGGGAACAAAAGCGTAGCAGCAAAAACAAGTTGTGACTTAAGAGGTAGTTTGATCTAGTCATAAGGAGGTTGATGATCCATCTTCAGTAACTCACAGCATTTTGTCTTTCGGCAGTGACGCTGCTGGACTCGAGAACTGTGCAAGGAGAATTGAAATGGGTTGCGAGTCCGACGGAAGGAGGGGTGAGTTTACAGAGGATAAACAATGTTGCTTTTACATTTGTATTTGTGTGGAAAAATCTCTATTGGTAACTCTTGAAGATGTTTATTGTCTTGAAAATTATATTTGCACATGAAAAAGCAGACTAGAGAAATGAAAGAACCTTTTCTGAGCACAGCAGAATTGCTGTTTCACACTAAGAAGGTACAGGATCTAACCAAGGCCTCATGTTGTGCCAAAGCCCCACTAAAAAAAAAAGGAAAACGGCTTAAGAGGCATCACACTGTATGCAATCAGTATTTTCTGCATTAGTGCATAGATGAAGCACAGAAGACTAATGAGACCTATACAAACATCCATAATTATAAACCCTGACAGATGAAATGGCTTTGTTCTTATAATTTGATGTTTCATACAGACTGAGAAACGACTTGAGTTTAAGTGCTTGTGCTCAGGATAATTCATTTAGAAATTTTATGCTTCATAATTATATTCCTTTCTTTACATCATAGAGTTGACATCTTAAAATTCGAGAATTTTCTTGTGCTCCGTGTACTGTACTTTGCATATACAACAATGAGGCTTGTCTTTTTTGGCTTGCTAAAATGAGTACAGATAGGCTGATGAAAAAAGGCTATGTGCTAATGTTTAAGAATTTAAGTGTTAAGTGCTAAGAATTAATTATATATATACAGTATATATATATATATATATATATATATATATATGCATTTTTTTTCTTTGGAAAGAACAAGTGCTATTTACCTCAAGTTAATTATACACACATTATATGATTTATATAAAAAGTTTTGTTTTAATTTTTAACCACACTTGACACTAATATTCATACTTGATTATAATTATTATGCAATTATATCAATTAAATGTGTTAAAGTAGCACAAGCACCTTGTATTTAGTCACTATTATTGTTACTGTTATTGTGATTAATTATATTATGAATTAGGTGAAAAAATGGATGTTGTAACCAACATTATTACAAATATTTGTCTATTAACAATTAACCTCGCACACCTGAAGGTAATAGATAGGTGCGTAGGAAAACATACCAAACCAAGGCCAAATACAAAAAAACTCAACAGTCCCGCACACTATCGATACTTGCACATATATATTTACATTTCGGTCCCATGACCTTCATCAGGCATACCAAAATTGTTAATGCACAACCTCATTTAAAAACAACAAGTGACCAATCACTGCAATGATACATATGATATATTTTTGTATACCTGATGAAGGTCATGGGACCGAAACGTTGTTCTCTACGTACTACTTTGGTTGGTTTCAGGTTTAATGGTGAACTTGGAATTTGAAGAAATGTGCTCCCCCACCCTCTGCTGCTTTATCTCAACAGACCATTTGATTGACAGGGTCCCGACAGAGCCCCCTCGCTCACGCAAATGGGCCAAATGTACAGCTTTATCAGTGTGACAGCTGGGATTTCTACACTTACGACTTACAAAGAGTGAAATAGCAAGAAGAAAAGACAGCGTCATATATTGTGACAGGTCTTTTCAAAACTCTTCTTCACTGCGAACGTCTCATTTGAAACTCTCACCAGCAGGAAGCGTCAAACTCTAGGCCCCATAGTATTACAATGGCCTAATATGGGATTAATGGTGAACAGGAAGTCAGGGTGTTCTTGTAAATGTTGCTGGTCACTGCATTTGTTTGGTATATGTGCTACGGTGTTTGTAATGGTGTATTATTACTGAAAACCATATTTTGGCCTTAGTTTCAATTTAATTTTACATGTTGCCACAACTACCTCCCAAAACATCTAGAAGGCTTAAACATTACTTGCTATTCTGATGTGCAGAAATTGATCTTAACAATGCTTTGAAGAATCATATTATCCCGATTATGATGATTTTTTTAATGGCCAAAGAGTTTGTTTGCAAAAACAGTGTAAAAACTGATAATTAAAACTGCTTGTCCAAAAGGGATTGTTCACCTAAAAATGAAAAAATTCTGTCATCATTTACTCACCTTCATGTCCTTTCTAAACCTGTATGACTTTTTTCTTCTGTGGAACACAAAAATATATTTTAAAAATGCAATTGAAAAATACTTCAGAATATCTTGTTTTGTGTGCTGCAGAAGAAAGGCAGTCAAAAGGGTTTAAGGAGAGTAAATGATTACAGACTTTTCATTTTTAGGGGTGAACTGTCTCTTTAATTTTTGGAGCAGCACATGCACATAAGTGCACAGAATCTGGCAGATGTGTGATTAAATTCTCATTAGCATATCGTAATCAATGAAATCATTGCATCATTGTAGCTGTTAGTTTGTGGAACATCTCCAGCATCAGGACTGGAATTGTGTGCACCTGCTTTAACAAAAGTCTCCCCAGTAGAATTTCTATAGGCCTACTTACCTCTCTGTCTCTCTCACAGTGGGAAGAAGTGAGCATCATGGATGAGAAGAATACGCCAATCAGGACGTACCAGGTATGCAACGTAATGGAACCCAACCAGAACAACTGGCTCCGAACGGACTGGATCCCCCGTGGTGGAGCTCAGCGCGTCTACATCGAGATCAAATTCACTCTGCGTGACTGCAACAGCTTGCCAGGAGTCATGGGAACCTGCAAGGAGACCTTTAACCTCTACTACTACGAGTCCAACAATGACAAAGAGCGGTACATTCGAGAGAACCAGTTCACCAAAATCGACACCATCGCAGCCGACGAGAGCTTCACGCAGGTGGACATAGGAGACCGTATCATGAAGCTGAACACGGAAGTTCGTGATGTGGGAATTTTGACACGGAAGGGCTTCTACCTGGCATTCCAGGATGTCGGAGCCTGCATCGCTCTGGTATCCGTACGGATCCTCTATAAGAAATGCCCCCTCACCGTACGCAACCTGGCCCAGTTTCCAGACACAACCACCGGGGCGGACACCTCATCGCTAGTGGAGGTACGTGGATCCTGTGTGGACAATTCAGAGGAACGTGAGGTCCCTAAAATGTACTGCGGAGCAGATGGAGAATGGCTGGTGCCTATTGGAAACTGTTTGTGTAACCCTGGCTATGAGGAACACGGAGGAACATGCCAAGGTAAGAGCTCAGATAATGCCCTCGCTCCATTTTTTCCAACAGAGCATTTCACCAGGTTCTTTTATGAGTCGAGATTTATGCACCTCCCACATGAAAAGTAAAAAAAATAAATAAATACCCTGATCTCTCAGCAGCGAAATATTCTATAATTTAACATGAGATCATTATAAGAGAAGCTGACCTGGATACACTTTTCCCCCCCTCAGGGATGTGAGACAGCTGGGTACTCGGCAGATCACTGTGGATTAAGCTAGTGTTGCCATTCGAGAGGTCTGGTTATGATTATGAATTGCCCTGTTTGATATCAAAACACCTCCCTGTGGATTTGTGCATGAGAAACGTTGGCACTAATTATTTTGTTGGAGCAACAGCCGTGTGGTTTATGAGCAGAATCCGCTTAATTAGATCATGGGCCAAGGCTCTCGTACCCTTTTCGCTCTCGTTCTCCTTTGCTATCTCTCAAGAGCATGTGCGATGGTTTTCAGTTCACATTAAAGGGTATAGACGTGATTGGCAAAACACTGAAAGAGCAGGAAAGATAAAAGAAGAAAAGGAGAGGATCAGATAGATTGCTTCTGTCACCAGAGGGGCATTTCTCTTTCTCCATGCTGGCTTTGATTCCCAGTGTCCGTAGTCAGGCCATACGGCATGGAAAAAGCTGTGATATACTGTTTGGGGTAATGCTGAGGTCAGTGCAGGCAAAAAGGAAGAGCCAGAGGACATGTAGGCAGTTTTAGCACGCCCTTTCTTTCTTTTCTGTCTGGTCCAGAAGAGGGTCATCACTTGAGCAGGGTGATAAACGGCCGACTGGCCAGTCTAACGGCCTTTATTTATGAGCGCTATCTCAGCGGGCTAATTGCATGACAAATACGGGCTGTAATTTAGGGTTCCAGCGGGCTCAAGGGGGGTAGTCAGCATTCACCGTGGGCGATCTCTCAGTGGATGTGCTTGTGTGGGTGGCTGAATGGGGTACACTGGGAAAAGCCATTCTCAGAGATCTGGCCATTTTTCTCGGGCACTCTTTTATTAGCAGAGCTCACTGGCAGCGGCCGGGTTCCCCACTCGCTTCTTAGCTTTCCTTCTCTCTCCCTCTGCTCTCTTTTGACGTTCAGATATGTTTAAATAAAGGAAAGAGGCTGTAATTTACCGAGAGCAGAACGGTGTTTCCACACAGACATTTGGTGGAACATTTTACTTAAATCACTTCAGGGCTTGCAATGATGATTTCATTACTCTGAGATATTTGGAAGAGAGCATTTTTAATATTTCTGTTGTTTGGCATAGGCAAAAGTTTTCAGGTTTCATTTCCCATCTCACACATCAATTAAAAAGCCCTTCAAGTCCCAAAATCTGATATATGTAGAGGATAATTTGTTTAATTTCTGGGTACTTCTCTGCACAGGACTGAACTATAAGGATCAGGTTTCATGTTAGTTCACAAAACCATCACTCATTGCTCTTTCAGGCCAGTGCTGCATCGCCAATTTTACATTTATTGATCTTGCATGTCCATTTTAATGTCTTGCATATACAATTTAAAATTAATGAAAAAAAAACATCTAGAAAATATAAAAATGCATTGCTAAAAATATGTTGACAGTGCAAGTACTGTATAAATCACACCTACTGAACAGCAGAAAAAAATCCAAAGAATCCTTATTTGTTGTTAAAAATTGAAAAGTTTCTAAACAAATTAATTTTTGATATTGGTTAATGGGAAAAGTGACCAATAAAAACAAATAAAAATTCACAAAATATTTAGCAGCCAAAATTCCAGCTTTCATAAATTTCCTAGGCTCGTTCTTTATATATCCTAAGACCATCTTCTTTATATCTGTCTTATTGCAGCTTGAGCCTGTCATCAATGGCTGATTAAGCCATCACATGCTGACTTCAGCAAGGCAACAGGCAGTTGTTTCCTCATTGAGACGGGTTCAAAAGGTGGCTTTCTACCCCAGCATGCAGATGGGAGTCACTGTCAGTTGAATAAGTCCGTGTGTGCAGCCGAGGCCTGGGGAAGGATGCAGAGGTTCACCTTCAGTGTGAGGGTGTAGGAGAGGGCGAGAACTTTCTCAATCGGGTGTCCCGAGGACCTTGTGAAAAAGCCCATTGAAGATAAGGGATACAAGCCCCCATACCCCAGAAGGCCTCAATGGGAGCCTCTCCCCAATTGTTGGGATGCCGTGATCGGGGATGGGGGCGAGAGGGGAGGAACACTAGACAGGGTCAGGGGTGACCCCTGGCTTTATCCTTCTCTCCTCCCCGAGAGACAGGGGTCATGGCCGAGATTTATTAAGACGTCAAAATTTTGACAGCTGCAGCCTAGACGAACAGGTCCAAGAACAGAAGAGTGAGACAAGGCCACAAAACAGCCGCCGTTCAGTTGGTGAATGGAACAGACTTGGCCAGAGGATTTGGTGTCTTTTCATCCTTATAAGAGTTTGTTGTTTTCTCACTGCTCATCTGCTGTGTTGAGTAGGAGGTGAGGACAGAGAGGAAATCTCTGTTTGTTAGTGGGCGTCCGGCGAGCTGGAGACGTGTAAAAGCCCGCTGAGGTGCTAGGCTGCAATGGAGAATGACAGCCCACTCTCAGTGTTTCACTATACACTATAGACGTACACATAGTTAGTGAAACAACATGATTGCATGGAAAAAAATCTAACCAACTCAAGTGAGTTTTTAGCTCTTTTGACTAATATGCCCCTAACAAAAAAGTACTATGGTATTATTGCAAAATTATACCCTCATGATAGTATCTTGTACAAAAGAAGTATTGGTGCTACTCCATGATACATGTCCTAACAAACATAGTAGTACCGTGGTACGTTGACACCATACTGTGGTACTGAAATTCATGTACCGTAGTGTTTAAATGGTACGTCAAGATATTTCAAAAGACATGTCAAAATGTCCAAAAAACATGATAGTACCATGGTAATTTTTGGTACTTTTGTAATATTTACATGCTATTTTACACATTTAACATAGTAGCATCATGGCATTCTTGGAAGTAAAGCAGTAAATGAATTTCAGCACCATGGTATATGTCAAAGCCACTGCACCACAGTAGTACCACCACAGTAGGAAGTGATGCCATGGTATTACCAGGGCCACATTAAGACCGCACTGGGCCCCGGGGCTATGACTTACTGCAGGGCCCCCCATCACAATAATGATATATATATATATATACCGGGGCTTCAGCCCCGCCTAGCCCTATGGTTAAAACGGCCCTGGGTATTACCATGGTAAATCTAAAAAAAAAAAAAACATGGTAATACCATGTCTAAAAAATTATGTCAGTACTGTGATACTTTTTGGTAAGTGATACTATGATGTTTTTGATGTACCTTGCAATTCAAGAGTGATAATGTATATAAAATTACCATCTGATACATCATTCAACCATGGTGCTGCCACATTATTTTTTAATGGGTGCTAATGTAAAACAGCTCACGCATATTTAAGTAATTAGAAAAGATAAAGAGTTTGAAAACTAGAGCATGTTGGGAAGGTGTGATAATATGAAACTGATCTTTGAATCAGAACAGACAGCGCCTTGTGTAACTGGAAGGAAAACAATGCTTGACAAGACATTATGTATGTAAGCTGAGATAGACTCTGAGAGAACTCTCAAGAAATTTACTGAGCAAAAGTAAATTTTTTCTTTAATCACACATTAAGCAAATTGGTGTACTTGAGGGGAGGTATTGATCTGGTTATCATGTGTTATTGTTGAGGTACAGCTTTTTTTTTTCCGGTGTAAACTTTGCACCTTAGCACCTGTGTGCGGTTGTTTGTGTGCCTAATTAGAATAAGCTTGCATGTGTATCTCATTGCTGTCATAATTATGAGCAGGTGTATGAGACTCATCATCCTCAGCTGTGAGTCGTTTTTGCTCTTTTCTTTGTTAAACAATAGACGCCGCCTGCCAAAATGCTCCTACCTATGAATATTCATCACTTCCTTTTTGCTTTTGATGGCAAGCACATATGTTGATTCCTGTCACGATCCTCCTCAGTTCTCCCCTATGAGCCCCTCCATCGTCCCCTGAATGGACTGTCAGCTGTCCCGGCAAAGAGAGAGATGGAGAGAGGTGCTCTTTGATATGAAACAAATACGTCATTTGCATATTTTGTCCATGAAATGCAAAGCCAGCAAACTTGTCTCTCAAAAACAATGGGCGGCTCGTCCTTTTAGCGAGAGGAGCAAAGGTTGGGATCCTCTTCGCTCTGTGATCATGGCAGCGTGCTGTATATGTTTGAAATCATTTGGATAATATGATTCGCATGATTAAATCCAAAACCTTTTGAATTGACAGAGTCTGACGTTCACAATTCGCATGCAGAGTTCAGATGCGCCGGTGTATCTGTGCCGCGCTCTCACTGTCTGTATGTGTGCAATTGCCTGCTCATGTGTGTGTTGTTCTCCTTGACCTCTTCCTGTCTATCATCATCCGATGCTCCCATACGGAAGCTCCCCTGACAGTTCACAGCCCTTCAGTTGTCATGTTGTGATGGATGCACCATGGGTGGAAAACGGCCTGAAGGACAGAACTGGTGGGAAGGGTGAGGGATGGAGGTGACTGTCGCCCTCCTACCGGACTGTTAGCGTCCATGCTAATATAGTTTAGGTCACAGATTAGGTGACAAATGCCCTTTTTACCGTTCGTTCAAATTGTATTTGATATCACAGCATTCAAAGTACCCATTACCTTCTGATCCAATCACTGTACCTTTGTAACATCACAGTAATTTCTGTAACTTTTATTTTCAACTTAATTTTGGTATTTTAACATCATTGATAAATTCACAGCATTTCTCAGGAGAGACTGTTGAAATTGTTGTGACTGTTTTGCTAATGCAGATTAGCCAAACTGTTTGCACCCATGCTAATGCTATTTTAGGACTGAGATTAGGTGAAACATTTACAGATTATGAGGAAAAATATGGTATTACCATGGTATGCTTTGAAGTACCTTGTAAATTAGGGTGACCAGA